GAAAAACCAAGGCTGCTCTGGCTCCCACCAATTCCTGGCCTCTGCTGCTCCCTAACCGCCCCCTCCCACCTCCCCACCCGCCCAGCTACTTTCTGGCCTCTGCACCTGTGAGCATGCCACTCCCGCACCCACTCAGCCCTGCAGAACTGGCCCACCCACCCCTCAGGGCTCCCTCTAGCCTTCCTTCCTCTGTTGTGCCTTCCATGCCTCCCCACAGACACCCCTTCATCTCAGCACTTAGCTCAGTTGGGAAAATATCTGTTAGTGTCTCTGCCTCTGCAACTGAACCTTCAAAGGCAGGGCCAGCTGGACTCCTGTCTCCTCTGCTGAAAGCCCAGGAATGTCACACTTCCTGAGGGAGCGGCCTCCCAGAGGCTCCGAGACAGAAGAAACCTCTCCTTCCTGGGCCTGAGGAACCTCACACAGGTCCAGAGGCTCACACTGACAGCATCTACCCCAGGCCCAGAGCAACCTTTAAGCATGCCATTTTACAGATGAAGAAACCGAGGCCCGGCTGGTGTGGCTCAGTGGTTGAGCGTTGACCTATGAATCGAGAGGTCCCAGTTCAATTCCTGGTCAGGGTACGTGCCCCATGTGGGGCATGCAGGAGGCAGGAGGCAGCCAATCAATGATTCTCTCTCATCATTGATGTTTCTATCTTTCTCTCCCTCTCCCTTCCTCTCTAAAACCAATAATATATATATATATATATATATATATATATATATATATATATTTTTTTTTTTTTTAAAGAAACCAAGGCATGATGAAGGTAAGGACCCTGCTCTAGTTGATCCCAGAATTCAGAACCACTCATGCTCTGAGGGGGCTTCACCTGTCGGCTGCTCCAGCCCCTCCTTCCACCCTCAGGGCATGTGGGGAGCCCAGAAATGAGAGCTGAATGATGAGAGGAGAGAGTGAATCCTGACAAGGTGCTCCTCAGCCAGCCCCGAGGCCCAGCGCCCTCCAGCCCCTACCTCAGCAGCCTTATCCCCCACCTCTGTAGATAAAATGTTTGTGTCCCCTCAAAACTCATGTTGAAATCAATGTGATGGTATTTGGGAGGGGGCCTTTGGGAGGTGATTAGGGCATGAAGTGTAGCCTTCACGAATGAGATTAGTGTCCTTACAAAAGAGGCTCCAGAGGGATCCCTTACCCCTTCTGCCAGGTGAGGACACAGCCGCCTATGAGCCCTCACCAGACACCAAATCTGCCAGCACCTTGATCTTGCACTTCCCAGTCTCTAGAACTGTGACAAATAAATGTCCACAAGCCACCTAATTTATGGTATTTTGCTACAGCAGCGTAAATGGACTGAGATACCCACCATCTCACCCCACCTTCCCATGTTCATTCATTTATTCAGTTACCTGCTCGACATGTACTTGTGGAACACCCACCACTGGCTACTCACAGTTCTAGCTTTAGGAATACAGCAATGAATATATATATATATATATACTAATATGCAAAGTGTCCCCTTGGGAGTTCGACCTACCTGGAGTTCAATCACTCGCTATGACGTGCGCTGACCACCAGGGGACAGCACGGAACAAAGAAAGGCCCCACCGGGACTTGGCAGCCGGGGAAGGGAGGCCCGGGCTGGCAGTCAGTAGGGACCTACCCATGCACGAATTTCATGCACTGGGCCTCTAGTATTAACATATAACATCAAGTAGCGACAAAGGCTATAAAGAAAAATAAAGCAGGGCAGCACGATTCAGACTGCCATCCACCCCACTGCAGGGAGGTCTTGGTACCAACAGGAAGGAAGTGCGGGAGCCAGGTGTGAGAAGACCTGGGGAGAAAGTTCTGGGCTATGGGGCAGCAGGCACAGACCCTGAGGTGGGAAGCAACTTGCAGTGCTGGGTGTTTGGGGCAGAATGGGAGGCATGAAACATGCAACACAGTAGGACCAGGGCCAGGC